ATTGCATCGCACTTTTGACGTCCAACAAAATCTTGCTTTGCTCTCTTCAGTACGATATGATTTATTTAAATTATTTGATTTCAACTTAACTAAGAATATTTCAATTTCCTCATCAACTTTGTTCACAAAATCAATGCTAATTATCCAATTCACTCTATTTTTTTCACATAATTTTATTTTGAAAACACACTAAAATGCTAATTTTTAATTATATATATTTATATTTCTTTTATTGTTTGTTTACTATCTGTTCGATTCCGATTGAATCTTTTCGCCCTTTGATCCATCATATTTTCCAAAGTCGATGGGTTTGCAAACATTGGCCTTATTCCTTTTGGCCCACTTTTTATACAATACTGTTTAAGGGGCTTTTTGAATGACACTGGATGCGGGATTGTTTTTATCTCTCTCTCTCTCTCTCACACACACACATATCCACATTTTTATAAAAAAATGAATTTTTAAATAGTGTATTGATGGGAAATGTATGGTTAAAAAATAAGAAAAAATTTTGAGTTTGCATGTAATATTATTTTATTGAAGAATGTGTGATTAAAATGATGTCAAAACATAAGCTCAATGAAGGGCTAAACTCCGAAAAGAGTATTGTATTAAAGTGGGCCAAAAGGGGTAAGGCCAATGTTTTCCAAACTAGCATTGATCAAAAAATATAAAAGATAGAGGGACCATTATTTTAAACTGGAATTTTAAATTGAAATATCATATTACAATCTTTTAAATGTAAAACTAACTTTTCTTTTTTTTCCCCTTTTCAAGTCTAGCAGAAAACTTAAAGACTAAAATAAATTATTGGTATCTTAAATTTGATTTTATTTTTTCATTCCAATTTACTCTTTTTCATATAACTTTATTTTGAAAACACACTAAAATGCTAAGAGCGCATTTGATTTGCTATTTTCTAACCGTTTTCTGTTTTTAGTTTTCGAAAATGTCAAAAACGTGTTTGGTCTGTCGTTTTCGAAAATACGTTTTTGAAAATAAGGAAAAATTTATAACTAAAAACTCAAAACGATTTTTTTCCAGTCTGAATATTTTCAGTTAAAAAATTCAAAATGCGAAAAATGCTCAAAACATGCATTTTTTTTAACCCAGGGTATGTTCAGCAGTACTTTTAAAATAAAATGTTGTAATCTGATACAATTTAGTGAAACATAATAATTTTAAAACCTACAAATTTCCATTATTGTTTTTTTTTTTTTTTCGTTCATCAAAGTTTGAAAGAACCATTATTTCCCTTTTTACTGTCCAAGTGACAACAAAATACATCTAGAAGGATGAAGGACGAAGGACGAACTAGCTATTTTCTTTACAACAATTTCTATTTTTGGTCTATAAATTTATTATTTATTACTTTATTTTTGTAGCAAGAAAAATAGTAAATTCACCCAATTTAAAATATATATTATCTGGTAATATATTGGCATAAAATTATTATCTTTTATTGAATAATCAAATTAATTGAATAAATGTCATAAAAAAATTCTAAAAATTTTAAACCAAATGCATTTTTTTTAGTTTTCTGTATTGAGAAACCGTTTTTTAAAATGACAAACCAAACTCATTTTCTATAATTCGAAAATAGTCCCTCAAAACAAAAAACTAAAACTGAATTCAAAACTAAAAACTGAAAACAAAAATGCAAATCAAACGCACCCTAATTTTTCATAGTATATATAAATGATCTAATGGGCACCGAAGTTTATTTTATACTAAGTATTGGTTATACGACATATCAATTCATTAGTGGATAATAAATGTAATTCAAATGTTGATATCCACCATTAATTTATTTATCAACGAATTAATATGTCATGTCACTGAGCGATGCTCAATATAAGATGAACATAATTGCTTATTAGATCATCACTCTATGTATTTATATTTCTTTTATGGTTCTTTTTCTGCCAATTCTTTTTGGATTGAATCTTTTGACCATCTACATTTTACATTTGTTGGGTTGATACCTGGGCTAGGTTTGAAAACAATGGCATGCCCCTTACGCCTCACTTTTTACAAAATTTTCGTCAAGTGGCCTTCTGGACGCCAGTTTATGTGGGATTATTTTCTTCATATGCTATAGTGTTTAATAAATTTAGGATTGCTATTGTTTGAACTTTGAACCACCGTTTTAACCCCCCCCCCCCAACCCACTCTTTTAATGTCACATTATATTCTTTTAATATTTAAAATTAAATTACAATTTTTTTTTATCAAATATAGATGAAAACCTTACCAATCATCACTAGCCAATCTTTTAATATTTAAAACTAAATTACAATTTTTTTATTTTTTATTTTTTATCAAATATAGATGAAAACCTTACCAATCATCACTAGTTTGATGCACTGTCGAATTCAGGACCAAAAAGGTTTTTAAGTTCGGAACTAATATCTAAAAAAAAAAGGAAAAAAAAATTAATTTTTTACCCTCAAAAAATAAAGTTGGGCTTGGGGGGACTGGGCGCTCCTAGTTTGATGTGAACTAGCACTAATTTGATGAGAACCTTTAGGAAGCCTCTCGACAAGATGAGACAGAGAGTCAGGAGAAAAAATGCCAATTTTTTTATAGTATATAGTTTATATTTCTTTTATTTTTTGAATTCCTATTGAATCTATCGATCCTTGACCTTTGACATTTATCTGATTGATGCTTGGGGCTGGGTTTGAAAAGATTGGCCTTACCCGCCTTTTGGACCACTTTTCATACAATTCTCTTTAAATTGCACTTTGGATAACAATAGACGTAGGATCGTTCTCTTCATATACTTTAGTGTTTAATAGTTTATAATTGGTGTTGTTTGAACTTCGAACCATTCTTTTAAAATGTAAAACCAAACTTTTTTTTTTTTGTCAAAATATAGAAGAAAACCTAAAATCAAAAATAATTTATTATTTCTTAAAACAGTCGAGTCTTATTACTTGGCAATGACACATGCTGATCACGATCGACCATGGAGACGATAAACTATCATTATTGTAGTCATTACTTATTTACACGAGTTGAAACTTTCCTCCATTTTGATCAAACTAATTTGAGAAAGAACAATAATTTAAATTCATCCATCACCAAATTAAAACTCTTTAAAATCTGAAAATGGTCCCACTCAAAACGCGCACCCGGTAACCTTCCATGGTCTGTGGCAAGATTTAGGTGGGCTGTGTTTGGATGTGGGTCATATTGAGATTTTAAAAGTATTTTAGTTTAAATCATTAAATTTAGATAAAATTGTTGAAATATTATTCAACATTCAAGAAAAAATGAAACGGAATGAATAAGTATGAAGAAAAAGACAAAAACGGTATTAGAGGCAAAACTTTGTTCTATGCTATCGCATAGATTAATACTAGGCAGTCGCATGACCGATTGCAGGGAATTTTGGGGCCTCTTTGGGTTGTTCTATGCAGTCACATGGATTGATACTATGCAGTCGCATAGTTATACAAAATTGACCGTTGGAGGTCAGTTTCCTACTGTTACAACTCCGTATTGTGGTGGCTTTTCAACCTATTTTGGCACCGATTCGTGCACATTGGTGTTGGCCTATATATAAGTGATGCATTTCAAACCAAAAAATAAGTGAGAAACATTTGTGATCCATATTCATTCAAATATCAAAGATCAAATTCTAGATTCACATTCATACTCTTTTTTTCATTGTATTCTTAAAGTTTTGAAGGGTCGCGCTTGTGCTATAGTGCTAGATCATGTACAAGGCTTGATATAATCCTACGAACCGTTTGCCAAAATCTTTAAGTATCTTAATCAATCCCGAGTGGAGGCAAATATAGTTTGAGGATAGCGATTATACGTTCGAACCTTCGATCTTGTTTTTATCAAATTTCTGATGTTAATTATTTTTATTGTTGCATTATTGTGATATTATTCTTGTCTCTACTCCATTTCTCCTCCATATTTTCGAACAAAAATAAGGATGGAGAGAGATAGTAAATTTTGTATTTGTTAAAAGCTTAGTAAAAGGAATGGTCCCTTTTACGAGAGTGATTTTATTTTATTTTATTTTTTTTAAATGTTGAAATTGTTTATTTCTGCTTACTTTTTAACTGCAGTGTACAAAGACCTTATTTTACTTGATCAATGTGGTCCGCAACCGCGTAGGGTTGACATTGACTCGAACAATAATTTGTGATAGGCGATTTAAATTCTCGGCCTCCACTGCATTAAACAATTGAAACTAAGCATGCTTTTTTATTTTAGTTAGTACATGTATCACATGTTTGATGGAAATAAAAATGAAATGTTTAGTAGATTTAATAAAAAGTGATAAAATTTGTGTTGATCCCATGAAATGTCTAATTAAAATTAATTATCGACTTGACTTAAATTAAAATTTAGATTGTAATTTATACCGAACAAGGTTCATTATAGTATAAACTTCTGAGTGATGACAATGAGTTGAGCTTAGTTGGTGCTCGAGCTTTTCGAGCTCAAAGTGAGCCGGGACTTGGCTCGGGCTTTGACTCGAGTCTTTGTCGAGCCAACTTAAGGGTTTTTCAATTTTTTTTACTCAAATATAAGAAAAGTTGATCATTAATTTATAGACTACAAAATTAATTTTAAACTATGAAAGTAATTATGCAAATTGTTGAATTTTACAAACTAAGTGGTCATTAATTTATAAACTAAAAAAATTCATTATACAAGTGGTTTAAAGAAGAGGGTCAGATGAACATACATATGGACTCGCACGGCTCACGGACTGACACGGGCTTGGACGAAATCTCATTTTTAAGTTTTGGTCCGAGCCTTGGCTCGTACAAACGAGCTCTGAGTCGACTTGACTTGAGCTTTTTTCGAGTCAAGGCAGAGCGGTCCGAACAGTTAGGCTCTTTTGCCACCACGCAAGCATGAAGTCAATGCCTTTTCTACTATTTTTAGGTAATCAAATTTCGCTGTTGGCTTTTAACGCGTATTTCATCAATCTTGCTATCCCTACTTAACCTCTACAAATTGATGGACGTAAGCAAGTAAAAGAACACAGGGAGAGAGAGATGGGGAAGATAAGCTCTGAAACTCCAAATGAAACTACAATAAACCATTTTAGTCATCCACACCCTCTGAAGCTGTCCAATTATCAAACCCAACATACCCTAATCCAATCTTCTTCTTGTTCAGGATGCACGCTTCAGGTCTCTGGATTGACCTACAATTGCACAACTTGCAACTATTTCCTTCACAAAAAATGTGCCGAAATGCCTCAGAAAATCTCTCATCCTTTTCATAAACAGCATGCCTTTTCTCTACTTCAGAAGCCTGTGTATCCGAACGGAGCCTTCAACTGCGATGCTTGTGGGGAAGTTGGCAATGGATTTTCCTACCACTGCAAAGAGTGCACCATTGATTTGCACATACTTTGTTCCGTTATGCCGTTATCCCTCGCTCATGCCTCTCATCCACACAAGCTCAATCTTACTTTTGAATGCCCTTATCCTACGAAGAGTTTTTGCTGTGATATATGCGGAAAAGGTGGCTCAAATCTCTGGCTTTACAGGTGTAGCTCGTGTGGATTTGATGCGCATTTGAATTGCGCAGAGGGTGCTCCACCGTCTTCACCTCAAGTGTCTCATATGCAACAAAACCCTGTAAATTTCACGTCTTTTCAATCTCAAAGTCCGATGCCTCAAGTATTTACATCTTTTCTACCTCAAACTTCGATGCCTCAAGCATTTACGTCTTTTCAGCCTCAGACTCCGATGCCTCAAGCAGCATTTACATCTTTTCTACCTCAAACTCCGATGCCTCAAGCATTTACGTCTTTTCAGCCTCAGGTTCCGATACCTCAAGGATTTACATCTTTTCAACCTCAAAGCAATGTCAGTTTTGGCATTCCTGCTGCTACGGTTATGCCCACTTATGGGAATAGACAGAACAATGAAGTCTTCCTTCAGACACTTCAACAAATATACAGTAATGCCCAACAGAATTACTTGCAGACTTTGATGCCTGCCACTGGAGGCGGAGGTGACAGAGGATCGGAACAACTGCTTCAAATGTTTTCAAACCTTAATATTAACGGTGGTGGAAGTGGCGGGATCCCTGATTTGAATACGTTTGGTGGTGGCAGTGGAGGTATCCCTGGGTTGGATGCTTTCGGTGGTGGCAGCATCCCTAATTTCGATGCTTTTCGTGGTGACTTAGGAGGGCAGAACTTCTTGCAAGCATTGATAAATAATGGTGGTGTTGACGGAGGCGGCGGGCTAGACATACTGCAATCGTTAATGGGTGGTGGAGGTTTGCTTGATACCCTTGGTGGACTCGGTGGATTCCTTTAAAGCTTTTGAATAATTATCATGCTAAGTTTACCTCAAATATATAATATAAAGAGGTTAAGTTTACATGAATCTTGTTCTTTCCTTTCAAAATTGAAAATAATGTTTACAAATCTTTTCTTGAATCAGCTGGATGAAATGAATTAATCCTTGATAATAAATCTTTGTCGAAAAATTTGTAGCCTTTCAATATTTAAGACCAAAGTAATTTGTAGTTATCTTTATGATTTTATACTTCATCTGCATGAATTAGAATCTGAAGCAGTTATTTTAGAATTAATTTTGTTTTTACAAAGAAAAAGGAAGAAGAATTCATGAGAAGCCTGAGGAATGTTTAAGAATTCAATTCTGAGAATGAGACATAAAAAAGATTAGACCCTTCCTCGCTGTATACCCATTGGTTTTCAGAAGAAACGCTTAAATTTTGATATTACATTTATTTTATTCCATGTTGCTTGATATATATTGACTTACTGGATGTAAATAAACTTTGTTTCCTCTTAATTAAAGTTATATGGGATTATAATCACCCAACCAGCTGGTAACTTCAAGGGGAACCTTTTGGAATTATATATCATGTCGTGTTCGGAGAACCAGAGATTATTATCATGTTGATAATAATCTGAGCCATCCATGTTCCCCTCGATTTTCATTATTGGATTGTTTTAAACACAGTTTCCATTAAATAGTCTGTTGTCAACTGGGATTATGTCTCTACATCTGTTACAATATTTCTATCAAAGTGGCACAACTCTTGCATATCAATTATGTTACGAGAACATATTGGTTAACATAATTTTTGATATAATGTCATATGGCATCCCATCGTTGGATTTTTTTAAATATAGTCAACTTTTTCATCAAATCATCTGTTGTCAGCTGGAATTATGTCACAGCATTTGTTACAATTTTTGTGTCAAAGTGGCACAACCTTGCACTATTATTGAAGATGTTCTTTTCAACCACCGTTTTTGATTTTATTGGAAAAGTCCAATTTATTCCACATCTTTGTACCAAGTTTTACGTGAATGGTCATTGTACAATAGAATTCCGCGATGACTTTATTCAGATTTTATTCGAAAAGATTAATATATTCCACATCTTGTCCCAAGTTTCACGTTAGTGTCATCTGTACAGTCTCCGCAATGACTTTAATGCTGTTTATAGATATGTCAATGGAGGAATAATTAAATTCTCTATTTTCGGTTTTAAGAACTTTCAATCTCAATTTGATTTCTATGATATTTACAAAGTTTAAGAAATCTAAAAGATATAAAAACATTTTCATAAAATTCTCTATTTTATGATTAATCGAGCGCATTTCTACTCACTTTTTATTGTACTTTCTTTTGTTGGAAAAACTCTACTTGAAGATGATTGATGCAAAGGGAAGGAAGCTTAGAATTAGATTATAAAGTTTGGTGCTAAGATTTTAATAAAGTAAATGATGTACCATTAAAAAGATAATTAAATTAGGAGTCGGCACAAAATACATATTGCAATTCAGAATTGTGAATAAAAGTCATTGAAATTGGGCAAAATTGGAGCTCATGGTTTGCAAATTGCGACATCGGCTTAGACCGATTCAGAATTAGAAATTTCTGATATTCGACTTAATCAAGGACGTTTTGAATATTTAAGATATGATCTAGGTCGAATAAGGGTCTCATATATCATTATACATCAAATTAGCAAAATTATGATACATCCTTCAGATGATTGGATGATTTTTAAAGAATGTGCTGTCTAAAATTATTGAAGAGAGTTGAGATTAAGAGTTGTCACATAATTTCTTCCAAAATTATCTATCTTATGTATTCGTTCTTTATCTTATATTTTGTAATCAATACATGATAAGGATAAACTTTTTGTTGATAGGGTTTTAAAGGAGTCTTTCCAATTGTTTAATTCAATAAATTACTCGTTGCTAATTTAAATTCTTGTTGGTTGATTGGTTGTTAATTAATTACGCCCCCATTAATTTTCAATTTTCCACAATTTTCAACCCACTAGCTTGCACACGTCTATGATCAACTTTGTCAATGACTCTAATCACATGCCAGAGCTTAATAATACCAAAACAACCGTTGACAATACAAGGATGATTGACATTGAGCCATTCAACGTTTAAACAATATTAGGGCAGTATTGTCATTGGTGGCCTAAAATATAGTAAATTCATATTCAAATGGAACACAGTACTTTATGCTGCACCCATGTATTCTGTGGGTCCCAATGGCCTGCAAATGTTGACCCAAGAAAATTAGATGTAATGAAAATTAACTGGGCCAAACGAAAAGTAACTGTTGTCCTATTATTTGGTCAATTTTAGGATTATTTTTTGAAATTCTTGATTATATCAAGAGGTAAATCAAGGTCCTAACTCAATAGCAAACAATGCTAAAAAGGTTGAACCCCAATATTGAGGACATTCACAGTCCTGCCTCTAGAGCTTTGGGGAGGTAAATCGCGGGATGTACCCCAACAGGTTAGGGAACAGGAGCTGTCTGTACACTACACTTACAAGGAGTCTAATTCCATATCTTAGAAATCGAACTCCTACACCGCGGCTGTCAGCAAGACGTGAGATAATCTCACTCCTATCTTTTGCACCACTGGACTATATCCCGCGGGGCAATAGAAAACAATACTAGTTCCTATGAGAGATTGACATACTTCTATACTTAGTGTGATCTTTATTGATGTTCCAGTTTTGACTTGCATTTTTATGTATTCACTTCCGTAATAAAGATATAGTTGGTCGTGTTAAAACTTGGGGTCCAGTTTAATAAAGTCAACATTATTAAGAGGAGTGGCCCAAGATCTATTTAAATTGGTCTATATTTCGGTATTTAATCGATGTGCGATTTATTTCCTTAACATGCTCTCGCAAGATAGTAGCTCTTTTTGAGCAGGTCAATCTTGAAATCCGTGTGCTTATTTTTGAGATTTAATCGGATCGAATAGCTCGTTGGAACTTATTGGACTCTGATACCATTTTAAGACTTGAGGTCCATCTTAATAAGGTCAACCTTATTAAGAGAAGTGACCCAAGATCTATTTAAGTTGGTCAATATTTCGGTATTTAACCGATGTAAAAAATTTTCCCTTAATAGGTCGTAGGTAAAAATTGATTTAATTTATTCGGAGAGAGAAAATTAACACACAGAAAAATATCAATTGTCAACATAACTCAAGAATTAATGATAACAGTTAATTGAGGATTAAAGTATGTTAATAATGGTAATTCGGGATACAAGTGCCTTTTTTCTCTAAGTTTTGCTTTTGTTTAATTTAGTTGATAATTAAAAATAAGTAAATCAAAATTGCTCGTGTGTTTATCTTGAATTTACTAGTCTTATGATTTCGATTCTTTATTAATAATTATATTACTTATATGCAATACCATTTAATCGCAGGATAATTTCTTCACCATTGTATTTGTTATATATTTATGGTATAAATATAAAATGTGAAAAAAATAATCAAATTAGATAAAGTGTCAAAGTGGTGGGAAATGTGACATTTGTGTGGGATGTCAGGGGTTCGAGTCATTCTCCATGCAAATATTAAAATGTCTTGATTGGGGCCTTGGAGCCTTGGACTTCCTTGACTAAAATAAATTATTTTTTTCTTTATTATTTAATGGTAAAACTAGCCAATATTTTCTGACTGTTTGTTTTTGTAACAACCCACTAACAGTCATTAAAACACTCACTACTTAGTCATTAAAATTCTGCATTAACATGGTGAAGACTGTTACTTCCATCTTGCCTATATAAACCCATATCTCGTTTTGGAAAAAATACATACAAAAAAAAAAAAAAAAAATAGAAAAATCATCTTGCATCAATCATCCTTTTCATATTCTGAATTTCTTATATTCGAGTTTTTACATATATTTTGGAGTACAATTAAGAGTTCTAGAAAAATCATTCGTGATTGCTGCACAAGTGGTTTACGATCGTTGTATCCTGGGAGTGATTGTCTACGGAGGTCGCAGCAATTATCGACGGGCAATTTCATTTTAGGATATCGTGCTGTCACGAGACTTGATCGGACGATAAGTCTTATATATTTCTGTATTTTATTGTTCTGAACATTACTGCAACTAGTTATTTTCCCAACAATATTTACCTAATTTTTGCAAATTTATTTTGTGACTAGTATTTCTATTATATCTAGTAATATATTCACCTCAACATTATTCAATTTATACTTTCTAACACATAAAATCACATTGAACTCGAATTCCACCATAAATGATTTATAAGATATTATTGGATTTTTTTGACGTCAAATCACTTGTTCCTGAGATTGAACATTTTGGTGCAAGATTTACATATTTTTTACATACTATCTACTATCTATCTATGTCTATATTCATTTTCAACCAATTGTCCAACTTCGTGAAAACATGCAACTGATAAGATGAATTATTTTTAAGGTCAACTGCTATTATATGCCATCACACATTCACACCAAACTCCAAAGCATCGCATATCCCCACTGGAAAAGCCAGTTCTTGATTTTCTCTCCTTATGAACCAGTCAACAAAATTGGCTAGACCTACCTTCAACTTGGTTACTTGTATTTATATTAGAAGATTGTGCAAATCACTGTTCCTAGTATGCACATGTAGTCCAGGAACAGGTTTATAGTTGACTTTTTTTAATGACTAAATTATTTACCACTTGTTCAATAACGAACAATATAGACGAAGGAGAACAATAAAAATCCTATTATTTGTATTAAATTTTATTTAATAGCATGCACCAAATTTATATATTGAATATTTTATTGAAACAGTTTTGCAAAGTCTGAATTTAAAAAATCACAACTAGAAGAGGAATTGAATAGAATGTATAATAGTTTAGTTTAGTTATTTGTTATTTAGTTGAATGAGTCTTGATACCTTTAGGAGTCTGCTAGTAAGTTGACAGTATATGCGTTATTAGGTTAATGTCTAATTTTATGAATAAGTTTTTCAATTGTATTTTGTTATTTTTAACATTTCAAGTTTGAGGATCGAATTTGTAACCGTAAGTAAAAGTTGCAGAAATTAAAAAGGAAAGAACACAGAGATTTTTCACCTTCGAAAGGGCCCGGATGTTCAGTCGTGAGACCTAATCACCCGTTGAGCATCCACTAAGGGATTTGGCTCAAGATCCACTAGTATCAACCAAGAAACAGTACAAATGTGCAAAGAAATCTCAGATTTCTT